AAGTATAAAACCTCTCCATCAGGAGCAGCAGGCATCTCTCGTGTCAGATTTACAGTCAGGCAAGTTTCAAAGTGTTGTGAACATAAGCCATGCAGAAAGGTGCGTTTGTAACAAGCTAAGAGTCAGACTGAATTCAGGTTAGAGATGAGATGACATAGGAAGTATATCTCTCTCTACCTAGTAGCAATTTTGACCCTACTAAATTCTACTCTCTATCTCCACCGATTGACCCTATTGTTTGTAACAAGCTACAAGGGTTTAGGGGTACAAGACCAATTTGACACTCAAACAATCCTAAATTCACCTATGCTTGAAAGAAGTTTGCTTTTAACCTTTTCTTTCACATTACCAAGGACAATCCTATATGGAATCCTCGTTTATCAGATAGGCTCGGCTCTAGAAGCTTTCGGAAGCTTGACCGGCCTATATTAGATTCTGTGAACAACATTTTCCTTAGTTGACTACCACTTGGAGTTCGACTCATATGTGATGATGCTGGACGACAACCAGGAGACTGCACTGGACTGTGACTCTCCTCACTTCTTTCTGTTGGAATTTGGATTCCCTGGAGAAGACAGTCAAAGAATTAGTGGATACAACAAAATAAGAATTACAGTGACACCTGTCTATCCCGGCATCCAGGCTAATGCTTGCTAACTACGGTCATTGAATCTGGGTGACGCGATGCAGCCATAATCCATGGCACTTATGTTTTCACCTCATTTCATAATACCAGTTCCCAACATACATGTTTATACCTAATCCATGGTACTTATGTTATCAACCCAAATTTTCATCAACCAATTCCCACAGCAACGCGTGGGGTATCCTCTAGTTTCATAATAACAGTCCCCAACATACATGTTTATACATATTGCACCAGATGTGACGATGCACTTTGGGGAAGCCAGAATGTTATCACACGAGCTATGATACGAGACATTAGAATAGTTCAAACCTGATGTTTCGGGTTGCATGGAAGTTTTACCATTCTGAATTGAGATTCGCTATCATTGCATTCTGCATCAGATACAAGTCCTAGATTAGAAAAGGGTGAAGATATAAGCTAAGACATGACTAACAACTGCCACTGCAAATTTTACATAGATTTTGGAACAAGAAATTCAGGTGTTAATATAGACCAAAAAATTGTGAACTTTAAGTGAAATGATTGTATCTGATGCAGCAGCACATAAAGTTTTAAGTTGAGCAGATCACATGACAGAGATTCTACCTGTCAATGATGGAAGATCAGCACCAGAAGGAAGCTGAGCAGGCATCCCCAACCTAGGCGGCAGTTTTAAGTTGTTTTCTGGTCCTGTTTTGGTCCAAGGACTGGCCTTCTTCTCTTCCGATGTCGACTCTGAGTCTGAGAAATCCACTCGTATTATCAACATAAATAAAAAATGTGATCTGAAATATGTGCTTTACAGGTGATATTGGTGTAAGACATATACATATTGACTATTGCTATTACACCAAGGAGGCGTGGTCTTCAAATTAAATGGGCATTTCCGACAGTGCCATAATTTGGCCATACCAAAGCAGTCTCTGGTAATAGGCTTTGATCATTAACAAAGATTGGAAAACTTGGGTTGATAATCATGAAACTAATTAACCTTCGAGCAAGATTTCATTGGCTAAGGTTACAAGCTTATCGCTACATTTCCTGATGGATAACTCAAAGCTGAGACTGTCTAGTTGTCGGATGTACAGGTCAATTGCCATCCAACGGGCCATCAGGGAAACATCCCGAGTCACCTGCTCATAGAAATGGCAATTGTTTCAATCAAGTATAACCCCTCTAATATGGAAAGAAAAAGGAAAAAACCATTAATCATATACACAGTTAAACACAAGCAAGACTAGTGAATAAGCATCATCAAACTAGTAAGCTTACTTTTGATGTGACATTAGGATTCCTGTCTCGGTCGCCACCCATCCTTGAACCAAATTTGATTGGTGTGTGGGTTAGTGGAAGAGGCTTGCCAGTATGCTATATGCAAAGTGTTAAAAAGAAAGATTTAAAATTGCTCGAGGGAGTGATGTAAGGTATTGTGGGAAGCATAGAACCCTTCATCTGGGCCGCATTGCATTATATAGAAACATTGCCGTGGCTTACAAGGAACGGTCGATCGTAACGAGAACAGATCGATCAAGATTACAGGAGTTGGAACAGAAGAAAGGATAGAAGACAAAGTACAATTTAAACTACTTCCTCTCCCTATACAACTTATCCTAACACTCCTCCTCAATCTAAACCTCAAGTAATTTTGCCAAGGTTAAGATTGTACTTAAACTCATCCAGTCTCTTCATAGTAAGTGGTTTTGTGAAGCCACTCGTTCTCTTAAAAAATGAAAATCAACTTCAATGTGCTTTATACGTGCATGAAAAACAGGGTTAGCTGAAAGATAAGTTGCACCAATATTGTCACACCATAATCTTGCAGCTTGAGGAATTTTAATTCCAAGTTCACGAAGCAATGTCTGAATCCACATGACTTCAGCTGTAGCATTTGCTAAAGCCTTATACTCAGCCTCAGTACTTGACCTTGAGACAGTAGCCTGTTTTCTTGCACTCCATGATACAAGATTTGTTCCCAGAAACACAGCAAAGCCACTTGTAGACCTTCTGTCATCAGCACACCCTGCCCAATCTGCATCAGAATAGGCAGACACAAGAAGAGATGAGGACTTGACAATCTGAAGACCAAGTCCCTCTGTATATCTAAGATACCTCAAGATCCTTTTTACTGCAGTCCAATGAGTTGTAGTAGGAGCATGCAAATACTGACAAACTTTGTTCACAGAATAAGAAATATCAGGACGTGTAAGGGTCAGATACTGAAGAGCATCTACAACACTCCTATAGTTAGTTGCATCCTTTGTTCCAAGTACTTCTCCAGCTTCAATAGTATGCTTTTCTGACGTGGAGATAGGTGTACTCACTGGCTTACACTTTTCCATACGTACCCTTATCAGAATGTCAGTAGCATATTTTTCCTGAGTAAGAAGTATACCATCTTTTGCCTTCTTGACCTCAATCCCAAGAAAATAATGAAGATCTCCCAAGTCCTTGAGAGCAAACTCTAGTTTCAAATCCTTAAGGAGACAGGTAGTTGCATCTGAATTTGAACTGGCAACAATTATATCATCAACATAAACAAGAACAAACATGGTAATATTGTTCTTACTGTAAAAGAATAATGAGGTATCTGCCTTTGATGGTGTAAACCCAACCCGTTGTAATTGTGTGCTCAACCTTGAATACCAAGCTCTTGGGGCCTGCTTCAACCCATACAAAGCTTTATCCAACTTACAAACATAGTGTGGTGTGTTTTTATTTTCATATCCTGGTGGCTGTCGCATGAACACTTCTTCCTCAAGAACACCATGAAGAAACGCGTTCTGAACATCTAGCTGCCGTAGGCTCCACCATCCTCTAGAAATAGCAATAGATAATACAAGTCGAATAGTAGTTGCTTTGATAACTGGACTAAAAGTATCTTCATAGTCAATGCCAAACATTTGCTTGAAACCCTTTGCAACCAACCTAGCCTTGTATCTGTCTATACTCCCATCTGCTTTCCTTTTGATCTTATATACCCACTTACAATCAATCACATTATTATCTTTTTTTGGTGGTACTAAATGCCAAGTTTTATTTTTCATGAGTGCATCATATTCATTATCCATAGCCTTCTTCCAATCTTTGTGAGAAAGGGCATCATGCAAATGTGTTGGCTCACCGGTACTAGCAAAAAATGCTCGCTTGGTTTAATCATAACTGATTGTACCATCAGTATAAAC